ATTTTGATAGTGATTTCATTAAATGTGTAGATTGCTTTAGGTAGTTTAGACACTTTACCAATATTTTTCTTCTAATCCATGAGCATGGCATGTTTTTCAATTTCTTTGTGTCGTTTTCAATTTCTTTCTTATACATTCTATAATTTGGAGAGTACAAATCTTTTACTTCTCTGGTTAGGTTTATTCCTAAGTATCTTATGTTTTTTTGGTGCAATTGTAAGTGGTATCTATTCACTGATTTCTTTTCTGCTGCTTCATTTTTGGTGTATACAAATGTAACAGTTTTCTGTCTATTGATTTTATATCTTGTGACATTGCTGAATTCATGTATTAGATGTAGTGATATTTGGAGACTTTAAGGTTTTCTACATGAAGTATCATTCCTGCAAATAGTGAGTTTCACTTTTTCCTTGCCGATTAGCACCCTTTATTTCTTTTTTCTTTCGTTTTAAAGTTTTATTTATTTATTTGTCAGAGAGAGAGAGCATAAACAGGGGGAGCAGCAGGCAGAGCAGGCAGAGGGAGAAGCAGGCTCCCTGCTCAGCAGGGAGCCCAATGTGGGACTCGATCCCATGACCCTGGGATCATGACCTGAACCAAAGGCAGTTGCTTAACTGATTGAGCCACCCAGGCATCCCATAGGATCCCTTTTATTTCTTTTGTTGTCTCATTGCTGAGGCTGACATCTAGTATGATATTAAATAGTCTTGTTCCTGACTCTCTCAGTTTTTCCCCATTGAGGATGTTATTATCTCTGGGTCTTTTGTACATGGCCTTTATGGTGTTGACTATGTTCCATTTATACCTACTTTTTTTTTTATTAATAATGGATACTGTATTTTTTCAAATGCTTTATCTGCATCTATTGAGAGGATCATATGGTTCTTATCCTTTCTTTTATCAATGCTGTGCATCATGATGATTGATTTGTGAGTATTGAAACACCCCTGTAACTCAGGAATAAATCCCACATAATTGTGGTGAATAATTCTTTTAAAGTGCTGTTGGATTTGATTTGCTAGTATGTTGTTAGGAATTTTTGCCTTCATGTGTATCAGGCATATTAGACTACAATTATCTTTTTTAATGGGGTTTTGTTTGGTTTTGGAAACAAGGTAATGCTGACTTTGTAAAATGAACTTGGATGTTTTCCTTCTATTTCTTTTTTCTTTTTTTAATATGAGAAGAAGAGGTACTTACTCTTTAAATGTCTGGAAGAATTCCCCAGGAAGCTATCTGGCCCTGGGCTTTTGTTTCGGGGAGATTTTTGATTACTGACTCAATTTCTTTGCTGGTTATGGGTCTGTTCAAATTTTGTATTTCTTCTTGTTTCAGTTTTGGTAGTTTATATCTTTCTTGGAATTTGTCCATTTCTTCCAGATTGCCCAGTTTGTTGGCATATAAATTGTCATAATATTCTTATAGTTTTTTGTACTTTTGTGGTGTTGGTTGTGATCTCTCCTCTTACATTTCTGATTTTATTTACTTGGGTCCTTTCTCTTTACTTTTTGAGAGGTCTGGCTACGGGCTTATAAATTTTATCAATTCTGTCAAAGAAATAGCTCTTCAGTTTCATTGTTCTGTTTCTACTTTCTTTGTTTCTGTGTCATTTATTTCTGCTCTAATCTTTATTATTTCCCTTAGTTTATTGTATCAGTGATTTGTTCCTCTGCTTCATCCATCCTCATTTACATGGAAACCATTCAGGTTTGCATTTCAGTTACGGCTTTTTTATTTTTGGTTTGACAGATTTTTAATTCTTTTTCTCTGTAATAAACAATTCTCTGTTGTCTTCTATGCTTTTTTCAAGCCCAGCTCATATCCTTATAATTCTTGTCTAAAATTCTGTTTCAGACATCTTACTTATATCTGTATTGATAAAATCCCTGACAGTTACTTCTTCCTGTTTTTTCTATGAGGGTGAATTCCTCCATCTTGTCATTTTGTCTGGGTCACTGTTGTGTGTGTGTGTGTGTGTGTGTGTGTGTGTGTGTGATTGTTATGAAAGCCAGTTATATTCCCACTCCTAAGAGTAATGGTTATATTAAGAAGAGATCAAAAAAAGGTGTGGGGGGGGTTCCTTTATGCAGTCTGCTGTTGTGTTTTATCTGTTCCTACCATCAGGTGAGTTTTCTGCAATTCCTCATTCCCTGCAGTTGGAGTTGTTTGGACCCCTTCTTCCACTGTGTGTCAAATTTTAACTAGCTGTGTTTTGGTCTGCTTGTTAAAGGAAGCTAGATTAAAACAAACAAACAAACAAACCTATTTCCCCTAGAGCATAAGCTATGCCCCACCAGTTATTTTGCCCCTGGAGAGGCCACGCCACCACTCCCAAATGCACTCCAAGAAGGGGAACTGTTTGTCCCTGTGTGACCTAGGGGATCCTCAGACCAAGCTGCCCACTCCTGGGTCTCCACCCTCCTTCCCCACAGGAGCACTGCTAAGCCTGCCAGCATGACTCTGGTGATGGCACAGACCTTTAAAACCAAACTTTGCACTCCATTGTTATAATAACTCACAGTAGTCAGCCCCTCTCCTTTTCCCAGTCAGTGGTTTTGGACATGAATTTTTCTTGCATAATCCCCTGCCTGCTGCTTTCACTCTTTCTCTCCCTCTCTCACTCCTCTCTGTGATCAGGGCTTCCTCCCTTCTGTGGCACCCACAATTCTTGTCTCCCTCAAATCAACTCTCCTCAGCTCCTACTTTTCATGAGGTGGATATTTTTCTCCCTCTAGATATGTGGTTTGTTCTCTCAGTCCTCAGATCAATTTAATGGTTATTTAGAATGATTTGGTATTTATCTAGCTGTGTTTGAGGGATGAGGCAAGCTTAGGATTCTCCTACTCCTCTGCCATCTTAACTCTTCTTGATTTTCTTAGTTTTAATTAAAGCAGAGTTTCAGGCATTTCAGCAAAATTAGCTTGTGTTGTGTCTTATGTAACTGGAATAATTAATTTTGGCAAATTATTTTTGTCATGAATTTCCCCCTTGCCCTAATTTTTCCACATTTTCTAAATTGTATTCTACAAGACAGTTTAATATTAGAGGAAAGACACTTCAATATGTTAGAAGCCACTTCTCTTTAGAATTTATCTATGCCCTCTAGCTAAAGGCTACCCATAAAACACCCATAATTGAATGAGTCGGGTATATTTCTCACTGCAGTAAGGGAAAATATACATTGTTGGGAACTGTGGAGTGTCTGAGTGAAGGGATATTAGAGGTAACAGGAATTAGAACATTTTCACTTAATTATTGTTGTAATGAGCAACATATATTTATCATTATTACTATTTATTTTATTATTATTTTTTTTTTTGGTAAAGGAGTGAGAGTTTTTACTTGATCATTGTAATGAGCTATGTTTAGAAGGCATTTCAAGCTCATTTTTCCCTCATTAGTTTTTCGAAGGCCCTGAAATAGCTGGGGACCTTTTTCCTACTGTTAACTTGAGGAGGGTAAAATATGTCTGTATTTTGGCTTGTCAAGATTCCTTTCTCGGGGCACCTGGGTGGCTCAGTCGTTGAGCGTCTGCCTTCGGCTCAGGTCATGATCCCAGCGTTCTGGGATCGAGCCCCGCATCGGGCTCCCCGCTCGGCGGGAAGCCTGCTTCTCCCTCTCCCACTCCCCCTGCTTGTGTTCCTGCTCTCGCTGTCTCTCTCTCTGTCAAATAAATAAATAAAATCTTTAAAAAAAAAAAAAAAAAAAAGATTCCTTTCTCAGCCACTAGGCATCCTATAGTACATAATCTAATTTTCACTAATATGTATTCTCTTAAGCAGACAGCATCCCAGAGGAGTTCTTTCTCATGGGCCATATTCTAACCTTCAGGAAACATGAGATCTTCACCCGGAAAAGCTCTCAGTGCACAGGTCATGCAATACAGCACTCCTCCATTACACTACAGAGTAGCCAGTGGCCCTTCTCTTACTCTCAACATCCCAGGGAGAAGGCAAACATAAGTCCACTGTGTTCTTTAGATTTCATAAAACGGACTAACTAACCTCTTAATTTTTTTCCCATATGTTTTAAGTGAGGGACAGGCAAGCATAACATCTTCCAATTTTCTGGGACAATAACTCAGAACACACCTACAGATCTTTCTTAAAACCTCCATGTACTCTCTTGACTTTATTAAATATCCCATGCCAATGAACAGGTAGATTCTTGTAACCAGATTGAGGCCCTCCTTTAAAATAGCCTATGATGATGGATTTGGTATTCATTTGGAATAGTTCACTTATTATTATTATTTTGTTCAAGGATTTCATTTTACCATTTTTACTTATATATGAAATATTTTATTATAATATGCCCAATGGTCTGTTAGTGGCACAAAGAAAATCCATTTCAGCTCAGCCTGTCATGTTGCTTCAGCTACTTACCTCTGCAACCTCATTTAAAACCATTCTGTCCCAACTTCATCTGTGCCCCATGTGTCTTCTACTTTCTCACCCAGGCCCACTCTTACTGCACTCCATGTTATCTTGAATTGATTTAATTTTACTTCACCACTTGCATAAGTAGATACATCTTTTGGATATTTTATTTATGTTCTGTAAGTTTTAACATCATCAAGTAAATTCTACAGCATGCAATTCAAATCAAATTATTCTTGTCCATTAACAAAAGTACATACTTGGGACTGAAATGATAAAAAGATATAATTTATAACATCAAAATGATGTTTTAGATTTATTTGAAGGAAGAAATCCAGCATTCTAATCTTTCTAATATATATAGATTTATATATCAATATTATATGTTTATTTATAGATATTAGATATTCTATATATATAGATGTTCTAATCTATATCTAGAATCTAATCTATATATAGATTATATCTAATATATATAGATGTTCTATATATATACATATATATATTAGATCTATATAGATAGATATTATATCTATATCCATATCCATATCTATATCAACTATATCTATCTATATCTCTTCCAAGTTTCAGCAGATTCAGAATAAGGCATTTCTTCCTCAGTCACACAGAATATCTTCTTCCTGGCTTGTTTATGTGCCTTAATGACAGGATGGTCAGAGGGTGTTCATTTTGACCATTGTAGGGGGGGCCAGGATAAAAGTATGGTCTCAAGGCCTCAGTGAAGCACTTTCTGTAGGTGTAGATGTGAGACAGGTTGGTCACATTATAAAAGGAGACCCTCCCATCCTTATAGTCCAGGAAGATTCCAATAATCTCAGGAGGTTCCTCAAGGTGGAGTGTTATCCGTGGATTTGCAAGAGCTTGGTAGTCATTACTTCTGTTCAAACACAGTGTCCAGAACCCAGCCTCTGGGGACACAATGATTTCTCCCTGTCTGCAGACAGAATCTTTACAAATGCCCAGAGTCCATTTTATTTTATTTTTCACACTTACTTCCCAGTAGTGTCTACCTTTGGAAAAAATTTGCTGACCTAATACACAGACTAGGTTATCAAACCGCTGCCTACTTTTGGGCAGTTCCTGCAAGGTATCACCTCCTTTCACACTTTTATTGTCCTCAGCAACTTGGAGATATGGGTGAGCTGTCTCTGGATCCAGGATAACATTTTCTGTGGAAGAATATGTTGTCAGTCTTGGCTATGAGCAATAATAATCACAATAATAAACACAATGTACAAGTGCCCTTCTTCTGTCTAGGATCTTTCTCTAGCTTTCCTCAAATGAAGTTGCTCCTTTCACTCAAGTCATCTCTTTTATATCACCTCTATTTATCAACTCACACACTTGAGAACTTGATAATGAGCATTTGTTCAGAATGGGGAAAAAATGAATATTTAAACAGACAGATTTTTTTCTAGTCAAAATATTTTTTTCAAATGCCAATATTACCTTGAACGCTTATTATGTGTCTAGTGCTATTTGAAGCACATTCATAAATATTCAATTTTCATAACACAGCAAGAAAATGGAGAAGTGTTTTTATTTTGTAGCTGAGACAACAAAGATTTAGAGAATTTTGTCCAAATATTATTACTAATAGCCATCAATATTTGGATTCAAGTCCATACCAATCTAATTCAATTTTGAATTAATGAAAAATATTTTTATATATTTACTTTAAATCTGAATGTTCTGACAATTTAAACTCTGTTCTAATGAACTATTCATTATCTAATGAAATTTAACTAGATTTACTGAATTATTTTTTCCCAAAGACTTTATATAGGTACAAGTTTTCATAGATATATGAACCAAAATATAATTTTTAAGGCGTTGGAAGCATATAAACACACAAGTGTGAGATAAAAATAATATGGATATCTACCTAATTACACAAGATTCTGTTAATATAGGCTATAAGTATTTCTCTTATGAAGTAATAGTTGTAGGTAAAACTAAATTTTACTTGTGTTAGTATAACCCCAAAGGAAATTCCCCTAGCATTAAAGTGATATAAAAACAACTAAAAACTCCTATAGGTTAACATTGTAAATAGAGGATTATGTTCCCTTAAAGCCACTTCAAGTCACTTGCTCATGGGTATTTTTTCAAAGTAATATCTGATATATGGACTGTATTTTTTTCAACTAGTAAATGTGCTTGTAAAGTTGTCTAATGAATGTGAATATTATGTCAATTAGTATATAAACTGGAGAAATCTCCTATCAGTACTCATTGTATATTTCTTTATAAAACAGTGGATTATCTGACTTTTCTTCCTCATAGCATATGTGTGGGAATTAAATGAAGATACTTTATTTGAACTAATTAACAGGAACTTGTAACTTGTAACACAAATTGCTATTGTTCCTAATATTAAGTAGAAGTCATAAATTTGACAATTGTTAGAAGTCAAAGGATATCCTGAAGGAGAGAGTGGTTTTCAATTTGACAAATCAAATGGAGGACCACTGATTGTGGTCCATAGGCAATTAGTGTCATTGTGTCACTAGCCCCCAACCTAATACAGGTAAGTGGCAGCCTACCTTTACCCCATTCCCTGTCAGCTACCCCCTATAACCATCCCTCAACTCATTTCTGGTTCTGAAAAGCATGTTGGTGGTATCCTTTTGGGTTATAATATTCTGCTTCCCTGCATCAATGAATCTCAGAGAGCGGCACCCTTTGTGATATATAGGGAGCTACAGCTATAAACTACTCAACAATAAGCAGGATAAAATGGAAGTTTTGGAGAAAAAATAAAAGTGTGTGTGTATTCTGTGTGAGTTTGTGAGTGTGTTACAGGTTCCCTTCTCTGGTGGCCCAGTGTGCTGGATAAAAATAAGAATCAGTATCCAAATATTTCAGTCTCTAGTTACCTGCATATCTTCGAGCCAATTTCAACCCTAAAATAAAAAAAAAAAAAAAGGAAAAGAAAATCATAGTTTCAAAATCAAGATTTAGCAGTGAGTAAAGCAGGAAAGTGATGAGTGGTCAAAATGCAGGTGGATGAGTCAGGGCTTGAGGTGGCCATTTTCATTACTCACCTTCTTCTCCCAGGAGTTTTATCCTTTCTGAAAGAATAGGATGTAGTGAGAGTTTGCTTGGACATATATTTAGATTTCTATTCTGACAGAGAAATATTACTTACCAAGTTCTTCATGAAGCTTTCCTGAAAAGCAAAACAGCGACAAATCCTTATGAGAAGTTGGTTAGGAGTTGTTAAGTAGAATTTCTAATGTTTACACATGTAAATCGTTTGTGTAAAAAAAAAAAAAGACAATGGTTGGATTTAAGTTACATATTTGGAAAATAATGGTTTATTTTTTTAAAGATTTTCTTTATTTATTCATGAGAGACCAAGGGAGAGAGAGGGGCAGAGGCAAAGGGAGAAACAGGTTCTGCCCGGAGCAGGAAGCATGATGTGGGACTCAATCCCAGGACCCTGGGATCATGACCTGAGCTGAAGGTAGATGCTTAACTGAGCCACTCAGGTGTCCTGCAAAATAATGGTTTAAAGCCTTTTGGTTGGCTTTGATTTACCATAATTCAAAGGATTATAATGGAAATTTTTGTCCAGAAATAGACTCTCCCAGGTGTTTACATTAAGCACATGGACTCTTGCAGACTGCCCACAACGAAGGCAGAAATTTAAGAACTCAGAACTGAAAGCACCAGTGAGGTTTGGCTATAATTTCTGTTTCTCTGTGCCTGAAGTATTAAAAACTAAATGCAGTTATTTCTGTTAACAAATGCAAATTTGTCCTAATATGATTAACATATTAAGAAAGAATTTGAGTACATTGTGAATTTTGCGTTTTTTATATGTGATTTTGTGGTATGGGAATCTGTACCCCATTGAATCTAGAGGTGTAGAAATACATACAGTATATAAACACACACACAAATACACACATGTCGGCACACAGCTCAGAAGGACATGACATACACCCATCCACAACTGCTATTACAATTTTTCTCACTGCCACTTCACAGGGACTACAAGCCGCCATCCTCCCCAGTGGTGCACAGATCCGTGCCCTTCCATTCTTTGGTTTTTATCCTTATTTCTTTTTGCTCTTTTTCTCTCTTTGTTTCTAATTTCTCTCATTATTGTTTATTTATTTTATTCTCTTCATTTGCACAAGTTGCTGGGGATGGAGGTGGAGGTAGGTAAGGTACATGGACCTACATTAAACTTCAGGTCTCTTTCATGGTAAAATGTCATATTATTGTAGTGTGTAGATATTTCCTAACAATTTATCAAGTATAAAATTCTGTAACCATTTTGCTAGATTTTTTAAAAAGATTTTATTTATTTATTTGACAGAGAGAGACACAGCAAGAGAAGAAACACAAGCAAGGGGAGTGGGAGAGGGAGAAGCAGGCTTCCCACTGAGCAGGACCCCGGGATCATGACCTGAGCCAAAAGCAGATGCTTAACTACTGAGCCACCCAGGTGCCCCTAGGTTTTATTTTTTTTAAAACATGTCACCAACAGAGATTTTGACTACCTTGCCTGTTATGTCATGTTATGGACTGATTTTCCTTCTAGAAAAGTCTTATGTTAAAATCCTAGCCCCCAATGTAATCATATTAGGAAATGGGGACTTTGGAAAGTAATTTGGTCATGACAGTGGAGCCCTCATGAATAGAATTAGTGCCCTTAAAAGAAGAGTCATGGGCACTGATTCTTGTTCTCAGCTTTCTGCCATCTGAGAACACAGTGAGAACAGGTCATTTGCAAACCATGATGTGGACTCTCAGACACCAGATCTGCTGGTGCCTTGACCTTGGATTTCCCAGTTTCCAGAACTGTGAGAAAAATTAACAAAATTTTATGACAACATACAGAATGGGAGAAAATATTTGCGAGTCATGATAAAAGAATTAATACCCAAAATATATCCAAATGATATAAAATATTTGCTAGTCATGGTAATAGAATTCATATCCAAAATATATAAAAAAAATATATACAACTCAATAGCAAAAAGCAAACAATCTGATTAAAAATCGGGCAGAGGAAATGAGTACACATTTTTCCATAGAAGACATATAAATGCCCAAAAGAATATATATATATATATCCATCCACAAGCAACATTTATTACATTTTATTCATGACATTTCTACTTTAATTGCAAAATTTTCCTACTTATCTAGCACATTTTTATTGAGGGTCTTCTTCACACCAAGATCTACTTTCATTTTAATGAGTAGGACACAGTCTGTCCACTCACAGTCGTTGACAAGCAGCCTGCCAATTGAAATACACTTCTAAAACCAAGGTGTTTTAAGAGAACAAGAAAGGTCACCAGAGGCATTGCTGCTGACTTTGACAAGGATTATTTTTGTGTGTCCAATTACAAACATCATTTGTTACAAAAATAATATGTGTTAATTCATTTTGGAAAATAAAAGAGAGGAAAAAACATCCCATCGGGTTTCCATTGCCTAGCTACAATCCCTTTAAAATAATTAGCTATATTCTCATTATCTAAATATCCAGATTATTCTTACACTACAATAACAAAAGGAATAACACAAGACTTAGTTTTCATAATGTGTTCTATTCTATTCAAAATTAATTAAATTTAATATTTTCCATGAAAATAAACACTCTTCTAAAGCATAATCGAGTGATTGGTTTCCTTTTATGTAAATAACATTCAATAAACTAGCTCTTTTTTGTGCATTGAACTGCTGATTTTCCCTTATCCTGATGAAAGTAAACAAAACTATTGATCCTGAGTATCTGAGAACAAGAATAAAAGAGAAATTACACACAGAAAAACGGCTGAATAAAAAACATATAAAGTAAAAATACAGTTTGTTACTTAAAGACCAAAGACAAAACAATAAATTAAAACAGAGAATAAAGTTTAAACCTATTTTTATTTGGCCAAGTGTCACTGAGGGTCTGGTACTAATTATTGGAAATTTAGGCAATTGAAGAGATCAATAACGGTAAAAGAGTTGAGGAATTACTAGTACTAGAGTATTGAGTTTTAGTACCATCTCAGTGAACAAAATCAATGTATCCAGTTACACAGACAAGAAAGAGGGCCATTTTGTTTGTACTTCCTTCTCCATTACCTCCCACTTCATCCTCCACCTTGAGTTCTTCATTGAGACTTCTCGATTCTCGCTCCATCATAGGTTCCCACCATCTCCTCACCCTCCTGAGTCTTTCTCAACTACTGTGCAAGTCCCTATTCTGGTCTCCCAATGCTCACTCTTGCACATATCATTGGATTCTCTAATGAAAACGTTTTTAAACACTAATCTTATAATCTTACTAGGTTAAATCCATCCTCACTCAAAATTCTTCAGTTCCTTGAACCACTCATAGGACTGATTAAATTCTACAAGTGACAGGTTGTTTATGATCTGCCTTCTGTCTACATCCCCAGTCATATTTTCTCCTAGTTCTTTTTTTTTTTAAGATTTTATTTGTTTGACAGAGAGAGAGAGAGAAAGTAAGCAAGAAAGAGAGAGAGCAAACATGAGCCAGAGAGGGAGAAGCAGACTCCCTGCTTCAATCACAGGACTCTGGGATCCTGACCTGACCAAAGGCAGATGCTTAACTGACTGCTACCCAAGCACCCCTCTTCTAATTCTCTACATCGTGTTTTTTTTTTTTTTTTAATTTTTGTTATTCTTGTTTTAATGTTAGGTGCATGAGGGAAAGAATATGTGTTTTGTATTTACTTATACCTTGTCATTTTAAAACACAATTTGTTTGATATAAAATACTTTGATAAATAAATGTAGGTTATTGATGATCATGATAATGATGATCAGGATATGTCCCACATTACTAATTTACCTCCCTTAAACTGTAGATCAATGCTTTCCTTCCTCCAGGGATAACTAGTTTTATGTATTTATGTATTTATTTAATTTTAGTAGAAGTTGTTTGTTGGCATTCTTTGTCAAATGAATTCAAGTATTTCTTTACCCCAAAGGAGTATTAATTCAATTCTGGGAAAATGAGAAGAATTATTGGAAATGTAATAAATTTATGTGCAATGGTTTTCAGATTTGGATTAATCTGAAGTTAATCTGATTTCAATCAGAATGGGTTTATGTTATATAGAACCACTCAGAGTACTTTTACATTTGACCAACAGTTTTCATTAAATGAGAATGTTTGTCACACAGAAAATCTAAATCCGAATATGATTCCAAAATCAGATAAAGCAGGGACAATTCTGCAAACACCATCACATAGGTCTCCAGGCCAAGAATCACAGAGTCAAAAAGAAACCACAGATTTTACATAGGATTTCTCTCTTTCATTAAACTACTGATTTTACACAGGATTTTTCTTTCACACTAAGGAGACCAGTAGACTTATATAGTAACTAAATAATATACAGTGGCATTTAAGACTAACCATGAAATAGTAAATAAGGAAGCAGGTATAGATTTCTTAGATGGCTTTATATGACTAAGTGTATAGCTCAGAGCAGATTTCCCCTGGTTTTTCATTTTTTACTACTAACCATATAATCTGTTCTCTGTCGTCAAGAAAATAACATTGTTGAAATGAAAACGTTATCACTGTACCATTTTTTGTTTAATATTTGTGTGATCCCCTGAATTCCTTGGATAATATTCAAAATTCTGTTTCCTGGGTTACATTCAAAATTCTTAGAATGTTAACAAGATGCTCCATTTCCCAGCCTTTGCCTACCCTATAACCCAATGTAGGTTTTCTGAACCAGAGTCAGCTGGCTAATATGTCTCCTCTAACAGAATCATGGGCTCACCTCTCCCGAGTTTAGTTCCTGCTTTCCCCATGCTAGTCCTCTCTTTGATCTACCTGTTCTCTTCAATACCACTAGTCTCATCTCTGTTGCTGCTTCTTAGGCAAATCCACAACCCAGCACTGAGTCCAATCTCACTATTGTATGTGTTCATGGCATCATGAACCCTCTTCCATAACACTTATGAGAACTTTTGTTTACATTTATCATTTAAATGTGGAATGTGCATCTGTCCTGAGATACAACTTCCAAAGGGAGTTTTCTTTTTTTTCTCATTGTTTCCTAAGCACTGACTATGGAATAGGCAGTTAATTATCATATGCACAAAGAATGACTGCCCTCACTACATGGAGCAAATGTAAGACCTGAGTTCTAGCCCTCACCAGGACTAGCTGATGCTTCTGGTTCATTTACAGCTAAAACTTTCCCTGTATTAGGAATATTTATATTTACATTTTAAAAAGTAGCAGAAAGATATTTTAGTTGTTTCTAAACATTTTTAGGTCATAAGTGGGATATTGTATTTGGGCATTTTTATAACAATGAAAGAACATCAAGTGTGGAATGCTTCAGTCAAAAATAAATATCACTTACCATTCTCTTTTTCTATAGTCTCTATAGAAAGAAAGAAACAAAACAACAGTATGTTAGAATGTGTCCTCTTATCCCTATTCATGGCAAATCTGTCCTATAACTTGGTCTCATTTGACAACAGAGATCCTGAGACCATAGATTTGATGGTCCAGGATATATCTCTGACACAGATAGAGAAACTTATTTTCTGAAGAATAATAATAATAATAATAACAACAACAATAATAATAATAATACATAACTCAATCTAAAAAATACTATTAGGCTTGTAAATGTGTTTATATGGAAATAAAACAGAATATTTAAAAGGGATGAGGTCTGAAAGTTGAGAAAATAGATGCCAAGGACCTACAAATTCTACCCATTCTTCCCAGAATTGGAGGTAGTCTGAAACTTGTCTTCAGATCCTTATTTTATCACAAGATCATTCACAATACCTGGAAGCTGACAAAAAGAAACTGAAAACAAACAAACAAACAAACAAACAAAAAATACTTTCTAAAGATTTCTAAGGATTTCCTCAGAGGCGGGGTTTGCTTTTGCTCACCTTGTTTTAATGAGGTGGTGTCTTTAGCATATTCACCTCAACAACAGGTCCTTTATTTGAATGACCATAAAATCTTAAGACATGTCTATTGGAGTTTTAGAAATAGAGAAGTAGTTTCCTGATCTACACTTTAAAATGCTCCAAACCATAGGTTGTTTAGTCCTACAGTCTTGGAAACCTTCCACATACTCTGAAACTATTGCAGATTTGTCCTCCAGAGCAAATTTTACATGGCTGCAGACTTAGAGTCAATTAGAATTTCCATGTTTTCTACCCTCAAGCACATCATAATAACTTACTGTGTTGAGTATTTTAGATAAGAGTCAGCAAATGTCGACAAAGGCCTTTCTTTTGAGAACTTGAAGTAGATAATATAGTATGTTTCATGGACAGGACCAAATTAATTTAAATAATTACATTTTCAAAATGGCTATTTATTAAAACACTTGACCAAATGTAACTGTAGGACACACAGTTGTATGTGCTTTCATAAATGGTTTATAGAATAACTTGGAAATCATTAAGTTTATGCAAGAAGCAACCTCATTCAATCTCACCATTAGCCTTTCAAATAAACTTCCCAGAACTATTTTTTTCCATATAGCTTTGGAGTATTAAGTTGTCCAGTTCATACGATGCCCCTTGTCTCTCCTCTCACCTCCCATGAAGCTTCCAGTTCCTCAAAGGAAAAGAGCTGAAAGTGGAGGAGAGTGTGGGTTTGTGGAAAGGAAGGAGAAAAACTTTTCTCAATGAGGGTCATCTGTGTGTTTAGATGCTATAATGCACACTCTTTCTTTGGGGGAGGATTTTGGTATGTTCCTCAAGGTCCTCCCTCCTAATTCCCAACCTATTTTTATCCTTTCATGGGGTATGAGTACTTAGTAACTCACTTAGGAACTCCTCCCTCCCTATGATTCCCCTGAGGTCTCATAGAGCCTAGCCCAAAGTCTTGGGTGAGTCCATTTCTAGGCAGCTCCAGACCAAGATTCTTCACCATGCCTTACTTTTGTCTCAGAGGAATATGTCCAAAGACATGAGATTCAGAATAATATAAGATAGTCAACATAAGAGATTAATTATGACATAAGTGTTTCTGTGAAAATTAAGTGTTATGTGATCTTTAAAAGCTAGACCAGGGAAGAAAACAGAGCTCATGTTCTCTTTTCCTACATAATCTAGAAAAATAAGAAGCAAAACAAACAGACAAAGAAAAAATCATAAATAAATTCAGTTTTTCCATCCAACAGGTATTGGTGGACTGGCCACACTTAGCTCTGCACTGATCAGGCTACTGACTATCTCAGTAAAAGACACATAGCCCTGACCAGTCCCATGAACAGAGCACCATGCAAAGCAATAATGAGGGGGTGCATGACTGTGGGGTCCCACAGAGTACTCAGATACCTCTCTGAACTAGTGAGGGTTCACCAGGTTCCACAAGGAAAGCAGCATTAATCAGGAAATGACCACAGAAATAAAATATTTCAGGAATAGGGAAAAAACAATTGCAAATGCATAGAGATCAAATTACTATAAAAATATTCTCCTAAATAATAAGACCAAGAGTTAAAAACAAATTCAAAACAAAACAAAATATATGGATACAATAATTCAAGCATATGCAAATTATATTTTAACAGTTTAACATATAATATATACAAATGTAAGGGCTTAAAAAAGCCAAATATTGGTGTTTGTATATATGGTTGGCATATAAAATATAAATTCACATTAATTATTACTTAATAATAAAAAATTCCGGAATTAGAAAGAAAACCTAGGTGAAGATCAAAATTCACATATTGATTTGTATATTAGAAGTAACAGCAGATAAAATCATAAAGGAATATATGATTACTTTATTTGGCCTTTAAAAATTAAAACATCTAATAAACAAAGGAAATATTTTTAAAAAGATTTCATGGAGTGACTATTTTAAAATGTAAACTGGTTATACAATCTCATAATTAAAATGTTAGAAAAGTACAACTTCATTTCAACTGATAGATAATCATATATAGGGAGTTCATTTATTCATTTATTTTTAAAAGATTTTATTTATTCATTTGACAGAGACACAGCAAGAGAGGGAACGCGAGGAGGGGGATCGGGAGAGGGAGAAGCAGGTTTCCCACTGAGCAGAGAGCCCGATGTGGGGCTCGATCCCAGGACCCTGGGATCATGACCTGAGCTGAAGACAGATGCTTAACAGCTGAGCCACCCAGGTGCCCCTAGGGAGTTCATTTAAAAGAACTGATAGCGTATGAAATGGAAATAATTGCTAATATAATTTTAGTAGATCAAATATAATTTTCTATGATAATTTTGCCACTAAAATATAAGCGAAACTACTCACCTTTCGCTGTCATTAAGAGTTCTGTGTAAAAACAAAAGATATAATAAAGAATTCAACAAAATATGTATGGAAGAATTTCTAGAGAAACAGACTTCACTCAAATACTTCAAGCTCTGACTTGGTAAAATATTAACCACATAGGTGAAAATAAGAGAGAAGAGAGATGAGGAAGCAGACATTGTGTACATCATCTCAAATCGATGATTTCCAAGAGATTCCAGATTATCATGAAGAATGCCCATAACTCCATCCTCTACAGTCTCTTTTCTTCATGAACTAAGTCAGTCCATGCAGATTCATCTGGTGATTGCATGGAGCTCCTCCTAGGATATTCCGCCAGAAAACTTCACCCAGATTACACATGGGGTCTGAGATACAGGGGACTGGGACAGGATCAGTGTGCCTTTGGTAGGAGGAAATATCCAGAGTCAGGAATAACCTAAAACAGCCAGTTAGGCTTCATTGGTCATCCCAAGAAGAAATTCTGGGCATTGCAGGCCATAATTTTTCTCCAGACATTTTTTTAAGGGGCATAATCTGATGATAATTCAAATGTTAATTCATACCTTGGAAAATGTTATGCAGCATGTGATTAAAGATTTTAAAAATTGAGGGGGTCAGAGTCGGTGAGAAAAAATCCTCCAGGCATAAGGGTTTCAAAATGCAGAAGAGAAAAAAAGGTTATCCAAGTACATTTTACACAGGCTTCCCTTTCTCAATTCTGAAGGACGTGGGTTAGCAAGTAAAACATACATGCAAACTAACAAAGGAAAAGTGAGAATAGCTAACATAAGTAGAGATTTGAAGGTGGACCAGACTGTGCTCTGCATTGAAATGTAGCACCATCTGCCTTTTCAGGATTTCTGGTGGATTTACTGCAGACCTTCACTGGTACTTTGCCCAGGTATTAACCAGCTTCTCCTCTCTGTAGAGTCAAAGCAATATTTGCAAACTTCAAGGAATTATAGACATAATGATCCAACAGCTCTCATGGATACTTGAACAACCTAATTAAGATAAAAGGGAAGGAAATGCACAATCCTAAATTCCAAGTTGGTATTTATTCCCTTATATCTTTACAGGCTTTTTTCTCTTAAATCTTTTCTTCAAAAAAGGCCTTATATTGTGATCAGTCCATTAAACACAGGGAAGTAATGGATGACTTACCATATTCTTCATGAAGTTTACCTTTAAAAAGAAATACACAAGTAAGTTAGGGAGTGAAACTAAAAATTCTGATGGTCCATTGCTCTGTGAAGGGAGCTTATAATACATATGAGTTGGAAATTATATATTTGTGTGTGTGAGCCAAATGTTGTGCATCTGGATAACAAAAATTAGAATTTTCACCCATATGGAGGTTCTTGACAGACTTTTGAGAATCTATACCATGATTCGTAGAGCTCCAAGCCATGACCCTCCAACACTGTCCAGGGAGATATTCATGCTCTGTAGCACAGTGTGACTTGTTGGGTGAGTATTTAGTAGTTCTGGTCTGCCCTACATTAAAGTATCCCCAAAGGACAATACTGTAACAAGTATTAGCCATATTCTATTAAATGATTTCAAACAGCTTGAATAATAACCTCTCTGACATTATTAATTACAGGTATGATAATTGGAGGAGATCATTCAAAGAAAATCAGAGTGAAGTATATATCTCCGAAATCATACATCTATGCTCAGGAGAGTGCAAATTGTTAATATTTTAAACCCTCATTCACCCAGCAAGAATTTTATTTTTTTCATTGAAGAATAATTGACATGATATATTTTATTAGGTTCAGGTATAAAACACAGTGATTCGATACTTATATATTTTATGAAATGATCAGCAAAATGAGTCTAGTTATTACATATCATCATACAAAGTTGACAGAGTACTATTGATTATATTCCCTAGGCTCTACATTACATACACATGTCTTACTTATTCTGTAACTGGAAGATTGTACTTTTTAATCCCCTTTACCTATTTCATCTATTCCCCCAGCCACATACTCTATAACAGCCATCATTTTGTTCTCTACATCTATCAAGAGTTTCTGTTTTGTTTTGTTTGTTAGTTTGTTTGGATTTTTAGATTCCATATGTAAGTGAAATCACATGGTATTTGGTTTTCTTCATCTGATGTATTTCACTTAGCATGGTACCATCTAGTTACACCCACATTGTCTCAAATGGCCAGATATATATAGATATATATCTTGTGTGTATTTACAAACTACATATGTGTGTGTGTGTGTGTGTGTGTATACACACACATTATCCATTATCTATCTTTGGACATTTATGTTACTTTCCTATTTTGGCTATGTAAATAATGCTCTGATAAACATAGGAGAGCGTATGCCTTTTTTAATTTGTGTTTTCATTTTCTTCTTATAAATACCCAGTACTTGACTTACTGCATAATATGGTAATTCCATTTTTATTTCTTTGAAGAACCTCAAACATTTTTCAATAATGGCTGCACCAACTTATATTCCCACCAAGAGTTCACAGTGCTCCCTTTCCACAACTTTGCCAACATTTCTTGTCTTTCTTTTTTTTTTTTTAAGATTTTATTTTATTTTTGACAGAGAGAGAGTGTACAAGCAGGGGAAGCAACAGGCAGAGGGAGAGGGAGAAGCAGGCTTCCTGCTGAGCAGGGAGCCCGATGTGGGGCTCGATCCCAGGACCCTGGGATCATGACTTGAACCGAAGGCAGACGCCCAACGACTGAGCCACCCAGGCGCCCCCATTTCTTGTCTTTCTGATAGTAAACTTTGTAACGGGCATGAGATGACATATCATTGTTTTGATATATATTTCCGTACTGATTAGTGATGTCTAGCTCTTTTTCTGTGAGTGTTGGCCATCCACAAATCTTTTTTTGGAAAAGTCTAGTCAGGTCTTCTGCCATTTGTTAATTAGGTTTTTTGAATTTTGATATTGAATTGTATGAGTTTGTTATATATTTTGGATGTCCATCCTTTATCAGATATATCATTTGCAAATATCTATTCCCATTCAGTATGTTCATTTTCATTTTGTTTATGGTTTCCTTTGTTATGCAAAAGTTTTAGTTTGAGCTAGTACTAACAGTTTATTTTTGCTTTTGTTGTCCTTGCCTGAGGAAACCAATTGAAGTAATTATTGCTAGAACTTATGTCAAAGATCTTACTGACTATGTTTTCTTCTTACAGTTTTGTGGCTTATTTTTATTTATTTTATTTTTTTAAAGACTTTATTTATTTGACAGAGAGACACACAGCGAGAGAGGGAACACAAGGAGGGGGAGTAGGAGGGAGAAGCAGAGAAATTGAGAGAGAGCACAAGCAGGCAAAGCAGCAGGCAGAGGGAGACAGAGAAGCAGGCTCCCTGCTGAGCACAGAGCCCGATGCTGGGCTGGATTCCAGGACCCTGGGATCATGACCTGAGCTGAAGGCAGACGCTTAACTACTGAGCCACCCAGGCGCCCCCAGTTTTATTGTTTAGATCTTACATTTAAGTCTTCCGCACATTACAGGTTTACTTTTGTGTATGTGTGAAAGTGGTCAAATTTAATTCTTTTCCAAGTATTTGTTTTGTTTTCTCAACACCATTTAATGATGGGACACTTTTCCCATTTTGTATTCTTGCCTCCTTTGTCATAGAATAATTGGCAATATAAGTGTGGAGTTGTTTTTGGGCTTCCTATTCAGTGGTACTGATCTCTTTATGTGTCTGCTTTTGTGCCAGTAAAGTACTGTCTTAATTATTATGCAGTGGCTATCAAATCCAGAAGGGTGATACCTCAAGCTTTTCCTTCCTTATCAATATTGCTTACTTCAGAAATAAGATGGTGGCGCCTCTCATTCCTCAAATACAACTAGATAACTCTCAAATCATTCTGAATATTCAAGAAATCATCCCGAGGAAGAGAGTGCAATTCACAACTAGAGGGAGAGAAGAGGTCACAATGGGGAAGGTAGAAGTGGAGAGACATGGTTTGGTGAAGAAATGGATCCTGGGTGCTGCAGAGGGGAGGAGGCCCTGGACAGAAGAGTTCAAAAAACAGAAAAGAAAAGAAAATAACTGAACTTTGAAGCACACTGAGTATAATGAACCCAAGGATGGAAGAAGCAGAGGAATGAATAAGTGATAAAGAAGATAGAATAACGGGAAACTATGGAGCTGAACAAAGAGAAAGGAGAATTACGGATCATGAGAATAGATAAGGGAAGTCAGTGACTCCATCAAACATAATAACATTTGGATCATAGGAGTCCCAGAAGAAGAAGAGGGAAAAAAGGGGAAAGGAGGTTTACTGGAGGAAATAATAACAGAAAAGTTCCCTAATCTGGGGAAGGAAACAGACATCTAAATCCAGGAGGCACAGAGACCTCCAAACAAATTCAACAAAAGCAGGTTAACACAAAAAAAATTATAGTTAAATTTACAAAACATAGTGATAAACAAAAAATCCAATGGAGAGTAAGCCAAAAGAATTCCCTAACTCACAAGGAAAGACCCGTAAGGCTAATGGCAAATCTCTTCACAAAAATTTAGCAAGAAAGAAGGGATTGGCGTGGGATAGTCAGTGTGCTGAATGGGATCCCTCTTACACTGTTGGTGGGAATGCAATCTGATACAACCACTCTGGAAAACAGTATGGAGATTACTCAAAAAGTTAAAAATAGAGCTACCCTATGACCCAGAAATTGCACTCTTAGGTATTTACCCCAAAGATACAGATGTAGTGAAAAGAATGGGCACATGCACCCTCAATGTTCATAGCAACAATGTCCATAATAGCCAAACTGTGGAAAGAGCTGAGATGCCCTTCAGCAGATGAACAGATAAAGAAGATGTGGAACATATATACAATGGACTATGTCTCAGCCATCAGAAAGAATGAATACCCATCATTTGCATCGACATGAATGGAACTTGAGGGGATTATGCTAAGTCAAATAAATCAATCAGAGAAAGACACTTACCATATGGTTTCACTCATATATGGCACATAAGGAATAGCATGGAAGATAAAAGGGGAAGGGAGAGAAAACTGAAGGGGGGGATCAAAGAAGGAGACAAACCATGGGAGACTATGGACTCTGGGAAACAAACTGAGGGTTTCAGAGGGGAGAGGGTGGGGGAATGGGGTAGCTGGGTGAGGGGTATTAAGGAGGGCATGTGTTGTGACGAGCACTGGGTGTTATATGCAACTAATGAATCATTGAACACTACATCAAAAACTAATGATGTATTATATGGTGGCCAACTGAACATAATAAAAAAAATCTAAAAAAATAAAACATTAAAAAAAGAGAGTTTTTCAGACAAATAAAAACTAGAGGAATTCATGACCACTAAACCAGCTCCACAAGAAATATCAAAAGGGACTCTGTGAATGGGAAAGAAAGAACCAAAGTGACAAACACAAAAAGGAGCAGAGAAAATCTCCAGAAACACTGACAAAACTAGTAATAAAATAAATGCAAACAAGTAATAAACTAAATACACATCTATCAATAATTATTATGAATGTAAATGGACTAAAGGTTCCATTCAAAAGACATAAGGTATCAGAAAGGATTAAGAAAAAAAGACCATCTGCCTTCGGATCAGGTCATGATCCCAGGGTCCTGGGATCGAGCCCCGCATCGGGCTCCCTGCTCGGCGGGAAGCCTGCTTCTCCCTCTCCCACGTTCCCTGCTTGTGTTCCCTCTCTCACTGTCTCTCTCTGTGTCAAATAAATAAGTAAAATCTTAAAAAAAAAAAAAGACGATCTATATGCTGCCTGTAAGAGACTCATTTTAGACGTCAAGAAATCTGCAGATTAAAAGTGAGAGGAAAGATAGACATTTATCATGCAACTGATATTTAAAGAAAGCTGGAGTAGCCATATTTAAAACAGACAAAGTAGATTTTAAACCAATGACTATAACAAGAGATGAAGAAGGGCACTATATCATACTAAGGGAGACTATCCAACAAGAACATCTAGTAATGGCAAATACTTATACCACCAACTTGGAAGCACCCAAATATATAAATCAATTAATAACAAACTTGAATGAACTCATTGATAATAATAAAATAATAGTAGGGGACTTGAACACCCCACTTACATCAATGGACAGATCATCCAGGAGAAAATCAACAAGGAAACAATGGTTTGAATGACACATTGGCCCAGATGGACTTAACAGATATATTCAGAATATTTCATCCTGAAGGAGCAGAATACACATTCTTTTTGAGTGTACATGAGACATTCTCCAAAATAGACCACATACTAGGTCACAAATCAGGCCTCAACAAGTATAAAAATACTGAGATCATAACACGCATCTTTTCTGACCACAAAGCTATGAAACTTAAAGTCAACCTCAAGAAAAAATTTGGAAAGACCACAAACACGTGGAATTCAACAAAACGCTATGAATAGATGAATAGATCAGCCAAGAAATCAGCCAGAAATAAAAAAAAATACATATAAACAAACAAAAATGACAACACGATGGTCCAAAATCTTTGGGATGTGGCAAAGCTGGACATAAGATGGAAGTATATAGCAACATAGGCCTACCTCAAGAAGCAAGAACTAATCTCAAATAAATAACCCCCCCAAATGAATAATCCAGTTTAAAAATGGGCAGAAGCTATGAACAGTCATTTTTCTAAAGAAGACATACAGATGACTAACAGAGACATGAAAAGATGCTCAACATCACTGATCATCAGGGAAATACAAATCAAAACCACAATTAGATACCACTTCACAGCAGTCAGAATGGCTAAAATTAACAACACAAGAAACAACAAATGTTGGTGAGGATGTGGAGAAAGGGGAACCCTCTTACACTGTTGGTGGGGATGTAAGCTGGTGCAGCCACTCTGCAAAACAGTATGGAGGTTCCTCAAAATTTAAAAATGGATCTACCCTATCAGCCAGCAATTGCCCTAGTAGGTATTTACTGAAAGGATACAAAAACACTGATTTTGAAGGGATACATACACCCGATGCATAGCAGCATTATCTACAATAGCCAAAATATGGAAAGAGCCCAAATGTGGGTGGGGGGATGGGCAAAATAAAGGAGATTAAGAGGTAAAATTTCTAGTTGTATAATAAATTAATCAAAAAGATGAAAAGTTCAGCACAGAGAATGTAGTCAATAATATTTTAAAAGGGCGCCTGGGTGGCTCAATTGGTTAAGCGACTGCCTTCAGCTCAGGTCATGATCCCACGGTCCTGGGATCGAGTCCCGCATCGGGCTCCCTGCTCTGCGGGGAGCCTGCTTCTCCCTCTCCCACTCCCCCTGCTTGTGTTCCCTCTCTCGCTGTGTCTCTCTCTGTCAAATAAATAAATAAAATCTTTAAAATAATAATAATAATAATAATAATAATAATAATAATAATAATATTTTAATAATGTATGGTGACCACACTTATTGTGGTGAACATTGAGTAATGTATTAGAATTTTCAAATAAATATGGTGTACACCTGAAACAAATTCAACAGCGTACATTAGCCATGCTTCATCTAACAAAAAAACAAAAAACAGCAACAACAAAAAAGAATTTCCTTTCTAACTGGAAAGCTGTCTCCAGATAAGGCACTTAAACTTCTACTGTGTCTAGAATCTCCTACCAACCCAAGACACCTGAGTCTATGGTTGAGCCCAGAATCCACTCTGCACAATCCCTGCAATAGGACACTACTTGTTTCCATTCTGACTTCCCGAGAGTTGCATTATCTTTTCACGTCCCAGTGCCCTGTCTCCCCAAGGGCCCAGACTCATTCAGCTAGACAATGTCCTTGGGATAGGACTAGGAATAAAGGTCAATATCTACATCTTACAGTGACTGTACTTAAAGGGAAGTATGTGCACTTGTCCTGGTCCAAAGTGACCAAGGGAGTGAAATTTCAGTTTTTAAAAGTAGCCTGGTTTTTCATAATGATTTAACATTTTTCAGGACTCAGTAAAATTTTTTCATTGACATTGTGATTTCTTAATCAAAGTGGAAGGACTGCTACTTACCTTAGAAAGAAGTCTTGGTCCACTACAGATATCTTACCTCTTATTCTCAAATTGTAATAACAAAGGTTAAATGACATCAAGTTCTATGCAGCCTGGGAAGCTGCATGTCTTCTTCCTGGATTTGATCTGTTTCTTGTGCATCAATACTTTGTATTATTTTAATCCATCAAGTAATTATAAATAAAATTTAAATTCTAATGTTTAATGCTTCTTAATATTTTTCTAAATCAAGTAAATTTTGATAGAGCAGCGTTCTTCATGGTGTGGCTCCTGGTACAGCAGTAGCAGCATTTCTAACATGGGACCTCGTTACAAATGCCAGTAATTGAGCCCAACTCAGACCTGTTGAGTCAGAAATTCTGGGGTGTGTGCAGCAATATGTGCCCTCCAAGTGATTCTGATGCATGCTTGGGTTTGAGGACATTTGCTCTGCCTGGTCCTTAGAAAGAACTTAATGAACACAATGGTACAGTGTTTCTGCTCCAGATCTCTGAAACTGACAAGACACAGGTACTCTTCAAGATTGTGGCTAGAACAGTGCTCATTAAAAAAAAAAATTCACTCGTCTTTACTTAAATTCTCACCCAAGTCTCTATTTTAACATGGATATGATTAATTCTATGGGAATTTTGTAAGCATGCACAATTTCTGCAATCTTCTCTTTTTGATCCATGTTTGTTCAGGCACAACTTGAATCTGTGGCCTTAACCTCTAAAGGGAAGTGTGAGTTTCTCTGAGTTACAAGTAAACCAACTCACCATGCTTCTTCTTGACTGAACCTAAAAAACAAAAAAAAAAAAAGAAAAAAAAAAAGCAGATAAAAATGATTAGTAGAAGTCATCTAGGGTGTGGTTGAACTCTCTCTCTCTAGATATATACCCAAATGTGTATATCTCTCTCTTTATATATATATCCAAGTATGATATATATTGAGAAAACAGAATATAGGGGAAAAAATGCAAAACTTTAAAAGGCTTTAAATCAGTTGCCTGGAGTTAAGTATTTCTGCCTTCACACAATCATCATAGAGAAAAATAGCTTTTTGTTGTAGATATAGATACCATTTATATAATATTTATATATAAATATATAAAATATATAATATAGTATATGTATAAACATATAAACATACAATTTGTCCTTTTGATCATTATTGTGTCATCTATGACTTTATTTATATTCCACTATTGTGCAAACATCACCACTGTTTCCAAAACATTTTTATCACCCATAATAGAAAACCTGTAACTATTAAATAGAAATTTCACACTGCCCCCACTCTCCAATTCCCATTATCTTTAATCTATTTTCTGTTTCTATACAATTTGATTAGTCTAGCTATTTAATATCAGTTAATCATACAATATTTTCCCTTTCTGTGTCAAGCTTCTTTAACTTGGCATAATGTTTTCAGGTTCATTCATATTGGATCATGTATCAAAATATCTTTCCTTTTTTATGAATTAATAGTATTCCACTGTACCACAGTCCGTTTACTCATTCATGTGAGGATGAACATTTGTGTTGTTTCTGCCTTTTGGCTACTGTGAATAATGCTACAATGAACATAGCATAAAGTAACTATTCAAGTCCCTGTTTTTAATTATTTGAGTTATATTCCTAGGAATGGAAATGATTGATCATATGGTAATTATATCATCATTTTTAAGGACTACCAAGCTGTTCCACAATGGCTGCACCACTTAAAATTTCCACCAGCAATGTCCAAGGATTCCAATTTCTCCATATTCTCACCAGCACTGTTATTATTATTATTTTTTTAATTATAGCCCTCCTAAAAGGTGTCAAGTGGTATCCCATTGTGGCTTTGGGTTTCATTTTCCTAATGACTAATAGTATTGAACATCTTTTCATGTACTCACTTCCCATTTATATATCTTCTTTAGAAAAATACCTATCGAAATATTTTACTCATTTTCAAATTGGGTTATTTGTTTTGTTGACTTTTTGAAGCTTTATATGTGTTCTTGATATAAAACCCTTATTTGGTATACGTTTTGCAAATATTTTCTCCCATTATGTAGTTTGTCTTTTAACTCTCTTGATAATGACCTTTGGTGCAAAGAAGTTTTAAAAATCGGGGCGCCTGGGTGGCTCAGTTGGTTAAGCGACTGCCTTCGGCTCAGGTCATGATCCTGGAGTCCCCGGATCGAGTCCCGCTTTGGGCTCCCTGCTCAGCGGGGAGTCTGCTTCTCCCTCTGACCCTCCTCCCTCTCAGGCTCTCTGTCTCTCATTCTCTCTGTCTCAAATAAATAAATTAAAAAAAAAAATCTTTAAAAAAAAAAAGAAGTTTTAAAAATCACTGTAGTTCAATTTACGTGAGATTTGTCCTTATTGTTTGTGCTTTTGGTGTCCTATTTAGGAATTCATTGCCAAATAAAATGTCATGAAATTTTGCCCATATTATTCCTTCTATTTTTTAGCACTTACATTTATTTCACTGATATATTTTGAGTTAATTCTTCTATATGGTATAAAGCAGGGGTCCAAATGCATTCTTCTGCATTTGGAAATCCAGTTGTTCCGGAAACATTTGTTAAGCAGAATATTCTTTGCCCATGGAATGGACTTAGAACTTTCATCAAAATTCTATTTGTAATGAAGGTATAGGTTACTTCTGGATTCTCCATTCTGTATCATTGATATATCTGTATATCAATTTAGCTATCTGTACCTATAGACACAGATATACATTGATAGGTAATCTATGCACAGTGATATATATATACATAGATCTACAGACACTATAGATATATATGAATATATATGGATATCATATATTTATATCAGTGAAGCATCTGTCTTTCTATATATATATCAATTAAATAGAATATAAATGATATACATCATAGATGATAGATAGATGATAGATAAATAAATCCTTATTCAATCTGTATCTATATCAATTTAGCTATCTGTACCTATAGATACAGATATACATTGATAGGTAATCTATGCACAATGATATATATATACATAGATCTACAGATACTATAGATACATATCAATATATATGGATATCTATATATTTATATCAGTGAAGCATCTGTCTCTCTTTCTATATATATATCAATTAAATAGAATATAAATGATATACATCATAGATAGATGATAGATAGATAATAGATAAATAAATCCTTATTCAATACCAGATCTTTTTGATTACTGTAGCTTGGCAATACATTTTGAAATGGGGAATTATGACTCCTCCAAATTTGTTCTTCAATTTTAAGACATTTTTTGTTATCAGGGCCTCTTGTGATTCATATAAATTTTAACACCAGCTTCCCCATTAAAAAATGGAATTTTGATACTCATTGCATTGAGTTTGCAGGTCACTTGGATAATATTGGCACTTCATAACACTAAATTTTCTTATCTAAGAATGTGTGATTTCTTTCCATTTATTTAGGTCTTTAATTTCTTTCAAAAATGCTCTGTAGATTTTAGTGTGTAATTCCTTTACCTCTTTGGTTAAAGTTATTTCTCCCTGGTTAAATTTCTAGATACTATCATAAACAGAATTACTTTCTTAATATATTTTTTGGACTGTTCTTTACAGATGTACAGATATATTACTATTTTAGTGTGTTGATCTTCTAGCTATGAATTGATGACTTGATTCATTATTTCTATTAATTCTTATGGATATTTTTTGATTTCTACATAGGGGTCATGTCATATATAAGTAGAGTTTGTTTTACTTTTCCTTTTCCAATTTGGATATCTTTTATTTCTTTTTCTTGTCTCATCATTCTGGATAGAACTTTCAGTACAATATTGAATAGCAGTGGTAAAATTGGCATCCTTGTCTTGTTCTTGCCTTTAGGGACAAAGCTTTCAGTTTTCCCCATTAAGTGTAAGCTTTGGATTTTGCATTAGTTCCCTTTTTTTACATTGAGGTAATTTCCTTATATTGTTATTTTATTAATGTTTTTTAATGTGAAAGAGTGATTGATTTCTTAAAACTGCATTTTCTGTGTCATTTGAGATGATCGTGTAGGTTTCTACCTTTATTCCACTAATGTAGCCTATTACACTGGTTGATTTTCTTATGCTGAAACACTCTTGTATTCCTGGGAAAATCCCATTTGCTCATGGAACACAATTCTTTTAATATGCTGTTAAATATGCTGTTGGATTCAGTTTGCTTGGATTCTACTGAAAAGTGTCTTACCTTAATATTCTTAAGGATATTAGTCTGTATCTTTTCTTCTTCTTCTTCTTTTCTATCAGGCTTTGGTATCCGGGTAGTGATTGCCTCGTGAAATTAATTATGAAGTGTTCTGGCCTCTTCTATTTTTGGAAGAGTTTGTGAAGTATGTCATTAATTCTTTAAACATTGGTAGAATTCACCACTAAAACCACATAGCCCTGAACATTCCATTTTTGGGGAAGGTTTATATTTACTTATTTAATTTCTTTACCTTTTATAGGTCTATTGTGATTTTATAGTTCATTTTTAGTCTATTTAGAGAATTTTTGTGTTTTTAGAAATTTGCTCAATGTATCTTGATTAATTTGTTGGCATGCAATTTTTCTTAATATTCTCATAGTAACTTTGATTTATTTAATGTCACTAGTCTTGTCCCCTTTTCATTTATGACTTAAGTTATTTGTATCTTATTCTTTTTTCTCCTCATTCTAGCCAAATATTTCTAAACACTTTTTTCTCTCTGTAATGTACCATTTTTTTTAATTCTATAATTTTTCTACTCTTTATTATTTCTTTCTTCTCTTAGCTTTTCATTTAGTTTGCTCTTTTTTAAAATTTTCTTATAAATCCCCAGGTATAAATTTATTTATTTGAGGTCTTTCTTCTTTTTTAACCGAGGTGTTTACAACTCTAAATTTCTCTCTGACTACTATCTTCACTGTATCCCACAAACCTTCTTACTTTGTGTTTTTTGTTATTTCCTTTAATCACTATTTTATAATTTCTATCATAATTTTTATTCACTTGGTGTTCTTTAAATTTTACATATTTCTAAATTTTCCAAATGATGTTTAAAGTCTTTATTTGACTTCAATATTTTAAAATTGATTAGCACTTGTTTTGTGATCTAACTTATGGATTATCCTGGATCGTTTTTCACATGCACTTAAAAAAATGCTGATCCTATTATTGGTGGTGAAGTCTTTTATATATTTGTGTTGGGTTTAATTATTATTATTATTTTTAAAGATTTTATTTATTTATTTGAGAGAGAATGAGAAAGAGAGAGCACGAGAGGGGGGAGGATCAGAGGGAGAAACAGACTCCTCGCTGAGCAGGGAGCCCAATGAGGGACTCGATCCCAGGACCCTGGGATCATGACCTGAGCTGAAGGCAGTCGCTTAACCAACTGAGCCACCCAGGCGCCCGGGTTTAATTATTTTATAATATTGTTCAAGTCTCTAATTCCTTATATTCTGTCTCTGTGTTTCATCTATTACTGAAACTGGTACACTGAAGTCTCCAATTATTATTGCAGAATTGACTATTTCTCCCTTTAAATTAATTTCTCCCTCTCATTTTGTTAATGTGTTTTATATTTTGGGATACTGTTTATTTATGTATGTATATATATTATATTATATTATTATTAATGATTATATATAATCTAATAATTTCTACATTTTCTGGTTGACTTGATCTTTTTTCTCACTATATAATGCCCTCCTTTTTATCTTTTAACACTTTCTGATTTAAAGTCTAATTTGTCTAAAATTAGTATACCCACCTGAGCTTTTTTTTTTGAAAATATTTGCATGGAAA